AAACAAGCAATAAATAATATACTATATTTTAGCAAAAAACTATAACTTAGTAATACTAATTATAACTTAGAACATAAATGAAAAACTCATAACTGACTTTTTGGCCCGACCCAGGATTCGAACCCGGGACCTCATGATCAGCAGTCGCACTACTACAACCACTAGACCAACGAGGCAGTACTATACCTGATAAGATATTGTGGTTGGGTGATAATATTGAATTAGCCTTTTATAGTGTAAATTATAATATTTGTCGAAATTTTAATTATGGATTCGAACCTTACATGCTAATGGTGCTTCATTTTTTTATTTGCATTTACTTCAAAGAAAATACACGCAAAAATCTTCATCGCGCAGTAAAAAACACAACAAATATATGTATAACTAATACGAAAAATTATACCCAAAACAAACAAATAATACTACCTATAAATAACCTAATAAGTAATAATATTATCGACTCATATGACGTGGCGTATGCGTCGGTCGACGCTCTAACGACACGGGCTTCACGTCGAAGAGCTCAGCGCTCACTGACTTCATCAAGCCCGTGAGCAGTATATACGCCCAGATTTTAAAATAATTTCTTAATAAAATCAAATTTTGGTCTTTTGAAAAAAATTTTACTATAGAAATGTTCATTAATAAATTGCCTATCCATTGGTGTAAATCGCAAAACAAAATAATACTTATTTTACGAGGAGATGCATGTTATCAATAATAATTTCACATTTATGTGGTTTCGTTGTAAGGAGATTATATTAATATTTATTCCTTTAAAAAAAAATTGGATATAGCTTTTATGGAATCAAGATTATGTAGAAATATAATGTGTTTTTTATTTGTTGATATATCTTTTAAATAAAAAGTAGATAGCTCCTAAAAATCGCCCAAATAACGACTAGCGCGACATTTTGCTCAACCTGCGCCTTAATTTAGCTCGTAATAATGTGGAAGAAAATTTGAAGTTGGAACATTTGTATTATTAATTATTATAAATCATATTTTCCATATAAAATATAGCTGGCCAGTAATTCATCCAAACATTAAGTAAGATTGTTGATGTAAATATGTTGTGTTTCTTCTACCTATTAAATTACGGTAGATTTAGTTTTTGCGGCACTGTTTGACTTATCTATAATTTGTCTCTACGACATCCACGGAATTATTTTACGTCGTCATCAAACTATGTGTTAATACCGTAGATTGAGTATAACCTGACGGTATATACAGTAGATAAATGCGAGGAATTTTTAGTAGATGGTAGGACTGCTTTTCTGCCTAGGTTCCGTCTGGGCAGATACAAATCAACCACTTACCTATTACTGCCGCCAAATAGCAGTGCTTGCATTGCTGTGTTCCGGTCGAAACGGTAAATAGTCATTATAATATATATAATAGTGTGATCATTGGCTTAGGGGTATTCCATTTTAATCCTCAGAGGTGACAAAGTATGTATAACCTACTTTGTTTGAAGTTGACTACAGGTGTCATGGACTACAGTGATCATTTACCATCAGGTGGACTGTTCAGGTGAAGTTCGATTTTCACTAGGTGTATAAAAAAATTTATAAAAAATAGTGAAAATGCGTGAAGGTTACTTGTTACTATGTTACTTTTTTCTATCTTGTAAAAAACTTATTTTTGCGTTGTACAAATAAAGTTAAACGCGAAACGAAGACAATATAAAACGCATGAACAAAAGGAAATATTACACCAGCGATATACAAAAGACATTGAACGTCGTCGTTTACATAAATTTAATCTCACAGCTGCGAAACAAAACATCGTCTCTACTGCGTATTGAATATAAGATTTAACATTATGTTAAACAATGATTTATATGGCTCAATAAATATTGAGCTACGGAACAAATTACGCTCATATTATTTTGTTTATTTTATTCATTACTTAAAAATAGAGTTAATTAATACTTTTTGTTGTATTTTCCTTATATCACATTTTGTTAAAATCACCCGTTTCCTATGTATAGGTATAGGTGCTCTGTTAAGATATGCAGGAAGTCGATGGATGCAGGTGGCTCAGGACGATGCCTTATGGCATTCTTTGGGGAAAGCCTTTGTTCAGCAGTGGACTTGTGAAGAGCTGTAATGATGATGATGATGATTAGCACCTGAAAATTTACGATGATGATAGGTATTCAGACCAACAAAGAAAGATAGACGGAGCGTTGCGGATGTTGTAACACTCTCGACTCTACCATTCTCGACTTTCTTGAGTCGCACACACGTACACATATACAACAGACGTAAAAACCCACTGCTGAACGCACTTATATATCTAAAACCATATCGCTGGTTGTAAGTTATTTTAAATGCATATGTGTGCGTGAGGGCGTGTTTTTGCAATAAGTTGTATACATCAGCGATGGAGACACACGCAAGTGTGAATAACTACCCAAGAGCAAGACTTATTCACCACTATTCTGCTTGTATCATGAGCGAGATTAGAGTGGCTCTCCAGCTTCAAGACAGTCCGATTTACCGTCTATGGTTTCATCACCGCTTACTGTAAGCTACCATTATCAGTCAAGCACTGACTTATAAAGTAAAAAAAGCTCTGTGTTCATAATAATAATGTCCTCCAGACCGAATATCGGCCACGGCGATCAGCCTCAATAGAAACTAGCCATCGGCGCAGCATAGGATTATGGTGCCCGACTGTATGCGCAAGCACAGGTGCACTCTCTATTTCCTCACTCTCTTAATTCGATGGGACGGTAAACCGACACAACCGGAGAGAAATCAGGCGCAGGACCAACGGCTTTACGTGCTTTCCGAGGTATGGGGGTTAGAGACCGTCCACTTCCTGACTCCGAGCAGCTATTGAGAATTTCTTAATGACAAAACAATTTCTTTTTTATTGGAATGTGTTCAACAATGGACTCAAAATAATAAAGAAGAAGAATAGAATTTAATATATTTTAATTTAATTAAAATTTTTTAATAGCTGTTCCCGCGACTTCGCCCGCGTGTAATTTATAGTTGTAATTTATTTGCGCGGAAGCCTTAATATTTTTCTAATATAAAAGTAGGCTAAGTTACTCCTATGTATCAACTACCTGCCAGTGATAGTCCCGTCAAAATTAGTCCAGCCATTTCGGAGATTAGCTGGAACAGACAGACACAAAAAATTTGAAAATGTGTTTTTGGTTATAAATACCATGTATATACTTTAATATACATTTAGTATAAAGCTGTTATTTTAACATTATAATCAGACACTTCAATTTTATTTATATGTATTGATTAGGTAAATGTTTTCTTTAGTGATGATTTTTTGATATACAAGATAACAGTACATTCCTTAACATCAGTTTAAAAAGAAACACGGGATCAACCATTAATATAAATATAAATTTTACTACACTTTATTTGATAATATTTTTTTAAATAAATTTAAAAAATAAATTTTAATAAAATCTACTTATTTATATTTAAAGTATTGTATAGTTATTTTTTAAAAGTGTATTAAATATTTTTAGGACATCGACATTTGTTTTCTAATTCTGTATACACTAATGTTTTGTTTTTGTTGCATTCACATTTAATACAGTTATTTTTTAGGTACATACTTTAAATGATTTGCAATAAATAGTGTGCTTCGTATGCCGACAGGGTAGGACACAGTCGAACTTGAACATATATGCAGCTAACATCTATGTAATATTGAATATATTGCTTTCCAGCAACAATAGTCACGGGGGACTGGATGGTTGCTAGAAAGCAACCGAAACGTCGGGAATATAAAATAAGTTAATTAAACGCGATAAAATCCGTGAAAGTAGTTTTATTCAATGCGTAGTGTTCGCGTAAATATAAGAAATCATTATCTATGTAATACCTAAGATCCACGAAATAAATGATTCTGATTCTGATTCTTTTTATAGTTCCTTGAAGTTCGCTTTAACTTTTTATTCAGATTTAAATTTTTGACTCTTTAGAGTAGACTAACTAGGAATACAGAAACTCGAATTTCGTTTTAATAATTATATTAAAAACTTCATCTCGAAATCCCTAAAGGTGGAAAAATAGAGCTTTTATAAATCATTTAACCTTAAAGTTTCCACATTTGTACATTTAATTTTGCAAATATCAGGAGTGAACAAGCTCTTATGCTTCAAATTTTTTACCAAGAAAATACAGCGGAAGCTATAAATTTTGTACTTCTGAAAATCTCTACATCAGCGAATGATATTGAAAAGGAATCCGTAAGGATAAGGCTGCGATAGTTCCTGTCTAGGGGTAAGCCCATGCGAGTAATTTACTTAGTTTACTCAGCCGTTATATTAGTTTTACCCTGAATAAATTGGAAACAGAGAGAGCGCATATTTTCCATAGCTTGGTATTAATTTTCTTATGATGGATGGTAACTATTAAATACATCTTGCTGGCCGCATGAGGAAGGCCGCTCAGTGAACTATGGAGAGCGCTATGCTTGGAGTTTCTCTGCGTGATAGACTCAGAAAGAAGGATATACGCAGTAGAACCAAAGTAAACAAAATAACCAAACGGATCAGTAAAATGAAGTGGCAATGCGCAATCTATACAGCTCGAAGAACAGACAAAGGATGCGGAAAAAAGGTTTTCGAGTGGCAGAGAGAATTTTTTGTCATCCAGTTTGTAATAACTTACCACTGCACTGCAGCATACCAACTTCTATACCGTTCAACTGATCTCCATGGAAATTGGTATACACAGGCAGGACAACGTCCGACAGGTTTCGGTTCCGTTGGAGCGATATACTGCAAACTCAGTAAATGGCAGTCACCAATAACTCACTAAATCTTAAAGTTGGAATCACATCCCTAACACATACAGTTTTCAAGGGGAGGCTGCTAGCTTGAATTCAGGCTAGAATGATCCCAAAGTAAGGGCCATATCTCTCAAAGTATTAAGGCATTTTCACCAACTGCTCATCAAATCTTTACATAATAAAATTCAGGATATCGTTGGGGAGGGTTCTGTTTTGAACGATACTATAATAATAATAATAATAATAATATAATATTAATAATAATAATAATAATATATAATAATATAATATTCCACAACTATCAAACAACGCCGTCTAGTCCCAAGCTAAGCAGAGCTTGTGTTATGGGTACTAGACAACTGATAAACATACTTATATATTTCTAAATACATAAATATTATAGATAAATTACACCCAGACACAGAACAAATGATCGTGCTCATCACACAAACATTTGTCCTGGGTGGGAATCGAACCCACGACCTCCGGCGTAGCAGTCAGGGTCACTAACCACTAGACCAACAGGCCAGTCATACTATACTATAAAATTTAATATAATAAAAAAATACTATTACCTCATTCGACGAAAGTAACACCCACTCGCACGTATCACAAAACATTGCGTGAAAAATAAATTGCGCGTTTTTTCCCGTGTAAAATGGTAGTCCATACCAAAGCTATCCTTTTCAAAACATTTACTTTTAAGCCGTTGACATATTAGAAATAGGAGAATTTGTGAATGAAAGCTCATACAGCTGTGTTAAAATAATTTTATCGTTTGTGTTCTATTACCTATATACTATTTAGTTGAGCAGTAGCAAAAGTTTGAATATAACGTAAAAATACCGTTTTGCGGAAAGAGACCAATCTCTTTCCGAACGCCGTGTGGTGGCGACGAAAGAGAATGAACTATTCCATAACATGTCGTAGGTGTCGTAAGCTGTGATAGAGGGAAATTAAAGAGGAGATAGGCAGCAGCATCTTCCTGATATCAGCTCAAAAGAATAAGGCAATTTAGGGTAAGGCTTATGTTCGGCAGTGGACTTTTGGTAGGCTTGTAATGAACGAGTGAACGAATGTTCAAAGATTGTTGAAAAATTAAGTTTACGAAAGAACTTAAAGAAAGACAAGGTTTTCAATTAGACTGTGTGTTTTCTTGTATTTAAATTACGCGACATCTTCGTCAGTTATAAACTTAATTTTTTTAAATTAAATATTTCAGTTTAGGTTCCATATAATATAGAAGAAAAATTCCACGCCTAACGGTAGAAAATAGTTTTTACAGTAACTATTCCAGTGGTTGAACCTTGAGCTTGTGTTGATATTTTCAACTTTAATTTTATATTAACAATTTAATTTTGGAAAACTGTTTTGTAGGCAGTTCAGTGACTATTAATAAAACAACTACAGATTACTGAAGTTATTGTAATAATTGTTTAACACTGGATAAAAAATAATGTCAAACACAGTGTCCTAAATGCAGCCTGTAATAACTCTTGGTTGTACACAAGCCTGAATCCGATGATACCTCAATCGTAACAAGACAGTTTTTTTTTAAAATTCCATGTTAGCATAAATGCATCCGTTTAATACCGCCCAAAAGGATTGCACCGACCGGCGCGCACAACATACGTACACGCATATGCAACAACACACTTTATAACTATGCTCGTCATAATATTTTATAGTACGTTAAACGTACTGTACGTACGTATATTTATACGTGTCAGAGCGGCGTTGCAGCTATATCATGGATTTAGCACAAATAGGTAGGTTCGACCGGGGTAGAAACACGCTCTTACTGCTCTTACAGAATACCAACGTAAAATAGCAGCTTAATGCTGCTGTTTTTTTGCTCTTTACTGGACACGAGGCATCCCATCTTATTCCTCAGGAGTGACAACGTTTCTGCATTTAATTTTTAATTGGGGATAAATGTAGATTTCTATGCACCGGAGCATTTCCTTACCATCGGGTGGACTGTGTGCTCGTTTGTCACTCTAATTGTAAAAGCTAAAAGTTAAAGTTACAGCCTATACACGTCCTACAGCTGGACACTGGTTTCCTCTCATTTCTGAGAGGGTTTTTTTGAGCAAGGAAGTGTCCGCCACGCTGTCCCAATGCGTGTTGGCGAACTTTACATGCATTCGAAATATTTTTTTCGTATTTCTCAGACATGCAAGTTTCCTCACGATGTTTTCCTTCACCACCGAGCACGTGGTAAATCAGCACTTAAAATTGCAACTAACAATTTCTTTGGTGCCAGCGAGGTTTGAACCCGGGTTGCTCGCGTACTGTGAAACTTACAGGAGCGTTAACCATCTGAGCTACAACGGCTATCTTTTATATTATCACCCTTATTATATATTAAAAAAAAATCGAAATAAAAGCATACAACAGGAAGACTTTAAAATTTAGCAAGCTCATTCTGCGTTGATCTGACCACAATTTTTCTTAAGTCTACCACTAGTCCAACATCGCAGTCATTAGTATGAATGGAGATAAGTATTAGCAGGGATATTCAATCGCCAATGCAATTTAATTACTCTCGTTTAATTTGATGATTAAATAACTTCTATAATGCCTTTTACTGAGGCAATATGTCATTGTTTCTGGTTTGAACATTTTACGACGAATGTAACATAAGGGGAAACAAACGGTGAGCGCATTAAAAGCAAATGCTTTCTGCTGTGTGATTTACTCCATATTATTTTCTTCAAGGTGTTTGGTGTAAGTCACAGATTTCTAACAGGGTTTTTTGTTTTAAAATATAGAGGCAAAGGACCTTAAAGTGCAGTCCATCTGCTGGTAAATGGTTATATTGCAACTCAAGAGTACTATGAAAGAATGCCTCACAAGCTTTCATGCTTTAGCTACCGTGTCAGCCACTTTGTACGGAGTATTTTATACAAAACATGACTGACGGAAAGAACAGGCTTTTTGCTGGTAAATGATTATGTAATACTGCAACTGTTGGTTATCTGCAAACAACTTCATATTTTTTATAGGAGAGGGGGCAAACGAGCAAACGGCTCACTTGATGGTAAGTGACTACCGCCATCCATGAACAACTGCAACATCAGGGTAATTGCAGGTGCATTGCCGGCCGAAAGTCCTTCTCTTCCAAGTGAATAGAAAAAGCGAACCAGGGCTCCAAAGTCTTTGCTAGAGATCTGTCTGCCGGAAAGATCCAACTGTCGAAGCTGAAGACCAAGTGTGGCAGCGTCGTTTCCGGGACACCTGAAATTTTGAGTGAGATTGAGAGGTTCAATGGGCAGCTGTACACATCATCGTTGGAGACACACGTAAGTGTGAGTAACGATCCAAGAGCGAGTCTTATCCGACGCTATTCCGATGATATCCCGGACGTCAGTCTGAGCGAGATTAGAATAGCTCTCCAGCACCTTAAAAACGTAAAGTCCCCGGGTGAGGATGGAATTACGGCGGAACTTTTGAAAGCGGGTGGAAAACCGCTACTCGAAGTCCTTCAGAAGCTCTTTAAATCCGTCCTCAATTGTCGCATTACACCGGAGGCGTGGTGCAGAAGTGCGGTGGTCTTGTTCTTCAAAAAAGGTGACAACGCTCTCTTGAAGAAGTACAGACCGATTTCCCTTCTGAGCCGCGTCTACGTGCTGTTTTCGAGAGTCATTACGACTCGTCTCGCGTGCAGACTTGACGACTTCTAGCCTCCCGAACAAGCCGGTTTCCGAAAAGGCTTTAGCACCATAGACCACATACATACCCTTCGGCAAATTGTACAGAAGATCGAAGAGTGCAATCTGCCACTTTGTCTTGCTTATGTGGACTATGAGAAAGCCTTTAAATCAGTCGAAATTTGGGCGGTGCTGCAGTCCCTTCAGCGATGCCAAGTTGACTGTCAGTATATCGAAGTGGTGAAGTGGTTGTACAGTAGGGCTACGATGGCTATCTGAGTACAGAACCAGAGAACGAAACCTATCCAATTGCAGAGAGGTGTAAGACAGGGTGACGTTACATCCCCGAAACTCTTCACCACTGCATTGGAAGACGTTTTCAAGCTTCTGCACTGGAAAGGACAAGGTATTAATATCAATGGCAAGTACATCACTCACCTTCGATTTGCCAACGATATAGTAATTATGGCAGAATCGCTGGAGGACCTAAGCACTATGCTCAATGACCTCAATAGTGCCTGCCAACGGACAAGTCTTAAGATGAACATGGACAAAACAAAGTTCATGTATAACGTCCATGTCACACCTATGCCGGTAGTTGTTGGGAGCACTAAGCTCGAAGTTTTTAGCGAGTATGTTTACCTGAGACAAATGGTCCGATTAGGTAAATCCAATTTCGAGCGAGAGGTTAATCGACGGATTCAGCTCGGCTGGGCAGCGTTCGGGAATGGCAATGGGCCAGCCATATATTTTGAAGAACCGACAACCGATGGGGAAAAATGGTTCTCGAGTGGCGGCCTCGTACCAGCGGACGAAGTGTAAGGCGTCCCCCCACTATATGGAGTGACGACCTGGTAAGATATGCAGGAAGTCGGTGGATGCAGGTGGCTCAGGACCGTGCTTTGTAGCATTCCTTTGGGGAGCCCTATGTTCAGCAGTGGACTTGTGAAGGGCTGTATGAGATGAAAATGAGATGCTATCAGCCCAAATAAAATCCTAGGCATTGAAGGAATAAACCTAGAATGAATTATTGGAAGGTTATTTTTTTCATTACGCTCATCGCATTCCATTATAATTTATTATATTTATTTTTATAATCATATTTGATAATATTAATTAAGACTTAACGTGGTAGAGCCATGCTGCAGCTATATTTTCGTTCTGGCACGTATGGTAGTAAGTTACATTTCTAAAAATCCATAATGGATTATTGAAATGTATTAAAATAATTGCTATAGTGCCTAGGGGCCAGCTATATAACTCGAAAATCCGACAACTAATGGGAAAGGTTCTCAAGCGGCAGCCTCGTAACTGTATGGAGTGGCCCCCAACCATATGTGGTGACGATCTGATGAGATATTCAAGAAGTCGATAGCTGCAGTTGGCTGAGGACCGTGCTTTGTGGCATTCCTTGGGGGAGGTCTATGTACAGCAGTGGACTTGTGATGGACTGTACTAATGATGATGATGATGATGATAAAGTATTATTATTATAATTTTACTCTATATTGTAATAAATTTAAGAGTATATCATTACAAGAACTATTACTTTTTCTATCAGGGGAAATTCGTTATAAACTGTCGAAGACTAAAACAATACCTTCGAATGAATGCAATTTTTGTTTCTTACTCCTCAGAAATAACGATATTTTCATT